GCTTCAGAAAAGAGCCCTCGCTGCATTGCAAACCGCAGAAAAGCTAGCCATGTCTCTTGTCTTACCATAAAGTCCTCTCAACCACACATGATCCCCAGGAAAGGAAAATCAAGAGGACACGGAATCCTCAAACAAAGTCCTTGAAACAAATTAAGAACCGTTTTCACCTGGATCTTCTTTTAAGCCAGTTCCATTACCTAACCCGTTCTGAGCTTGCTGCTCCCAAAGTGTCACTGGAGGAATTCTGGCTAGAAAGCTTATGCAAAAGAAGATGTCTGTAGTTCCACTTCCCCCTGTTCACAAATAAAGGAGGGCAGAGATTTCCTCCCCCTCTGGAGCTTCTCTCCAGCTGGAGTTCTGGATAAATCGCTTATACAAATACAGCAGCTCGCTGGCTGTTCTGCCTGCTGTTTGCCAACAGGTGGGAGTAGAATGCTCCTTACCCTCGCCAGTTTCAGGCCACCGGGTTTACATAGACTTCAGATTATCCTTCTTATTGATTTCCTACTTACTCCCTGCATTCCTTGTGCACTCAACATTCCCATGAGCTTCTCTGGTGCATATCCTTACAAAACTGATCCCTTAGTTTCCTGGGCACTGCCCCTTTACATTGCTAAGCATGCTGCTTGTCTGCAGGAACCCAGCTGTTTTCTTCTCAGAGCTGCTGCAGCCTGTTACAGCCAAGAGACCTACATGCTGTGCTCTCTGCTGGGGCCTTTTCTTGGTGTTCTTTCTTGTTGCTTTTTTTACCTTTCTCTAAAACAAAAGCCATTTTCAGCTGAGAGCCAGGTCCTCTGCTGGTATAAATCAGCATAGTTCCATTGAAGTTAATGGAATTATCCCAAATTTTCACCAACAGAGGATCTGGTCCCAGAAGCCTATGGCTGTTCTTGGAGTCTAGAAAAACACAGGGGGTCTGATTCTCCTTGACACAAAGGCCGCTTTGCATCACTCCGTCAGCGTACAGAGGCTTTACAGTGAGCGTAAATTTACTCACCCTGCAAGACCCCTTTCCTCTGCCTGAACAAGCAGTACTGCCACCCCCAAATGTTCCAAGAGCACGAGTCCGCTCCCCCAAATCATGAGACTTTGAAAAAAAAATAAAGGATGGAACCTTTTTCTTTGCTGGTTTCTGCCCCTTTAGGTCGCACTTGGTTCACATTTTCAAGCGTCCCTCCGCAACCACGAGGGCTAGAAATGTACTTTTTAAAATGAAAGGGTGGCCTAGCGACTAGAGCGCTGGTCAGGAATTCAAGAGACTGGGGTTCTATGCTTGGATATTAGACCCGTTTGGCTGGGTGACCATGGGCAAGTCACACCCTATCCCTGTGCCCCAGCTTCCCCATCTGTAAAATGAGGACGATGAAGGATACTAATGTTCTTTATAAAGCGCTTTGAGATCTCCTGATGAAAAGCACTAGGTATTAATACTAGTCTCAGAAAACACCATGGTTCCAGCAGCTGGGGCTTTAAGAAAAATCACTAAAAATTGTGAGATTTGTGGTAAAAATCACAAGAGCTGGCAACACCGTGTAACTGAAGACCAAGCCTTTTGGGTGCTAAAGCAATACAGGATCGATCTAGTGAGTACACAGCCACGGCTCCTTTGCAGTCAGTAGCTCAGAGAGGAGGGTGATATGCTTTGAGCGGGGAATAAATGGCAGGTGCAAATGGATCTTGAACAAAACTTCTGCTTTCATATAAAGCAATAGGATGAGGGAGCAGAGCTCCTATTTGGACGTAGCGATGCTTCTAAAAGCCACTGATTTCAAAAGTCTCTCGTGCTTTATCTGTTTCTAATTTGACTTGACAGAAAAAAGACCTGGGCGGCTTTGAATCAAAATACATTTCACATTGCTGCTGTAGACGCCATCACGGCCGGTTCTCATTGCATTCCAAGCGAATGGCACAGCTCCCATGGACCTGAACGGGAACAGGAGGAGGACTTGGGAAATCACTACAAAATCAGCTCATTGGTTTGTGCAGCAGGCAAATGAATATAAGCCACTCGCTGGCAGCCTTGCTCAGTCCCTGGAGAGCTCAGAGACGCTGCTGCAGATACAAGTTCCCTTTGATGAAGCGTGTCTTGATTATTAATGTACTTCTGCAAAATCAATTGGCCGAACAACCACTATGGGCAGGAAGTTAGAGAGAGGCTTAACCTGGGAGGCTCAGTTCCAGCCCCACCTAACATGCCAGTGTTCTGGCTTAGGCCCATACGCAATAGGCCTGATCCTGTGAGGTGCTAAGTACCCTGGACTCCTATTCAAGTTAACAGGAGTTGTGGGTGTTTTGCACTTTGTAGGGGAGGTGTAGCCCCACAGGAGCAGGACCGATGTTATCAGGCTGGAACTGCTTTCATTACTCGGCATCATCCCAGTGCAGCACAAAGTCTCTGCGCTACTTTAAACTTAAGTGGCACTTAAATCACGCATAGACCTTGCCTCTTGAATTTCATATATTGACATTGAAATTGACTATAATCCATAGGGAAATCTATTACACACAGAAACCAACAGCCTGATTCTCCACTGCCTTGCACCTGCTGTTGTCACATATGCTTTGCACTGGTATAAGTGACTACACAAACTATAGGGGAACGGTCATTCAGGCCCCAAGCGTTTGCCATACCAGATCAAAGCATAGGTCCAGCAAATCCCTCACCTTACATCTGGCAGGGGCCAGCGCCCTACAAAACAGCACACCAAAGCCAGGCGCCTGCAGGGAAGCCGAGTGATAGGATTCTGTGTGTTCAAGTACATTTTGTGCCCACGGACTGTCAAGCGTGTCATTAAATTCTGGCTCTGACATTACTCCTGACATTTCAGAATCAGGGCTCCTCTGCTCAGAAAGGTAATTGCGAGACAGTCTGGGATCAAAGCTGCAGGCTGGAAATTGCTGTGGAGGCTGAGGTGGTGTTTTGGGACAGGATTAGGAAAGGCTCACAGAAAACGTAGGTGGAATTTCATTTTCATGGAGTGAGAAGGCCAGAACATTATTGCAAGACAAATAGCGCAGGACTGAACCTTAAACCCTTCCGTTCTCATACTGCATCTTGAAATTTAAACTGGGAGCAGTGCGTGGAGCTTCCCTGATCATCTCTGATCCTAGGGGCTGCAGGGGTATGCCGGTCTCTTCCAGGAGCTGTGCAGAGCCGACCAGATTTTTAACAGCCTGTGAACCCCAGCTTCCCCCCGCAGCGGGGCAAGCCGGTGCTCGTGGCTCTAGTCCCTCGGGGGTGGGGGGGCGAGGCCCGGGGTTTCCGGCCCATAGTGCAGAGACTTGCCATGGCCTGGATGAAATGAAGCAGCAGGTCGGATCCGGCCTGCAGGCTGTAGGTCCCCCCTCCCTGATCTAGCTGGTTGTTACATGCAAATTATGTATTGTATAGTTCACAAGGGATCTCTTCTCACCAGTCTGAACTGACTGTTAATGAAGGATCGGAAAAACTTCAAAGGGAGAAAAATAACAGCAAGAAGCAAATAAGGGAGTGGGGGGAGAACCCTCTCAAGTTGCATATCTAAGGTTTGCTGTACTACAGCGGGGCAGGGGGAGCCAAAGAAGTAATTGGACAGCAAGTTTGCTTCATGAAAGAGGGGTTGCCCAGGTTTGGCAGAGAATGTTAGGTTAGATAAGCTTCTTTGGACAGGAGAATAATTTGCATGCAGTGTTGTTGTAGCCATGTCGGCCCCAGGATATTAGAGACAAGGTGGGGGAGGAAATAAGAGATATTACCAAGAGGATAGTTTGTTAGTTAAGTTCAGTGTCCAGGAAGTGCGTTATGATTTTGTTTTATACATAACCATTTGTTTCCAACAGTCTGACGCATGGTCATTTGAATTTCTGCTCTTTGATCATCAACTTATTCTTGTTTTCACCACCACAATACCTTCGTGCTCTGGTGTTAACTGAGGATCACCACTTTGCTTAAGGCTTACAAGCTGGTGTGTGCTGTTCCAAAAGGAACAGCAGCCTTCTCCCTTTGGGAGAGTCTTCTCCTTCAGTGGTAAGGGGCTGGACTCTGCAGGGATACGCCGAGGACGCAGGGGCTGGTGTGTGCCTATCACTACCTGTACAGAGACTGCGAGGCCTGTGGAGGCCTGGAAGGTAGCACTTGTGCTGCTGCAAGCTAGTGGTTGCGGGGAACTGTTCCACAGCAGGCACAGAAAAGACTCTCTCACACACCCGACAAGTGGTGGAGAGGTGCCTCACAACCCTGGGTACCCCTGACGAACATGACTGTCCTCAGCTAAAGAACGTCGCAGGCAAATCATCTTCAGAAAAGCGAGCCCCTGCCTTGTGACTGGGTCTGATTGCCTGCAGAAGTGCCCAGGGAACTGTCACTCAAACACTATGAAGAGCTTTTAAAAAAATTAAAAAAGAGGAAGGGAGGAAAAAAAAAAGTCAGCGTTGGTCAAGGGAAAAGACAAAGGCGATCCAGGAAATATATTTAAACATTTAAAAAGTTGGGTTTTTTAATTAATTGACATCAAGCAAATAAAACACAAGCCAAATCAAAGAGCCAGTTCAGCTGGTGTCGCTCCAGTGAAGTTGAATTAGGTTTTATACTAGCTGAGGATTTGGTCCCCTATTATATTTTCTTAATTACTCTCTCCTCTAACGTGAGAACAAGGGGAAGCCAATGAAATGGAAGGGCACGTTTGTCTCTGAGAAACGGAAATGCTGTTTTTACACAAGCTGTGAATAACCAGTGGAACCCACTGGTGCATTGTATCAACACAGCCAAGAGCTTTGTAGGATTCAGAAAGGAAGAGACCTTTGTATGGATAACAAGTACATGCACAGTTACATTAGGCAGAATAAAATGTTATAAGGAATATAAAGCTTCATGCTTCAGGACATGACAGCCACTAATTGACGAGGATTAGGAGGAACATACCTATATGAACAGGTTGACAGTGACCCATGTGAAATGTGCAGAGACAGGATACAGGATGCTGACTAAGGACGGATCACTGATTTGACCTGCTGTGGCAATTCTGACGTTCCTAAGGAAAACTTAGTTAATAGCATCTCAATAATCACAATTTCACTTCAGTATATTCTACGGGGTTGGAAGATACAGGGCTCGAGCAGGTCCAGAAATCCACCTTCCTTTTTTGGGGATCCACGTTGACATAGTCTGCTCCCATCTTCATGTTCTCATAGTCCCCTGCAGTGCTTGCACTGCGACCGGTAGTTTGGAAGACCAGGGATGTGTAGTTGACCCCTTCTTCTGACCGAGGACACTAGGATATGACAAATAGAAACCAGACTAGAATTCAGTCTAGTCTTCACAGCCATGATCAGCTCTGGTTCAATCATAGTGGCATGGCACACTTCAGGGGGTGCTACGACCTCTAAGCTCACTACACAAATCCCACCCGTGTGTACATTTATCTATAGTCAGACACATTTGCATACCACAGAGAACAACTGCCGTTCAAATCTTAGTGATTTCACTTACTATTTTAGCAGGAAAATGAAGTGAGTTTGCTTGGGATTTTGCTGCCATGTCTGCCAGCAGTTTGATTTTGGGTCAGCAGCAACAGCTGTCAATACTGCAAATGGCACTGAGATCATGAACATTCTCATCTCAGTGTTGCTTTTCAGTGTTTTTCACACACACACACACACACACACACACACACACACACACACAACACACACACACACACACACGATGGATTCTGGAGTCCTGGATCTGAGTAGCCCTAAAATGCAGGAAATATGCATGCTCTTGTTGGCACCGTCCCCACCCCAGCACCTCAGTCCTCCCCTGCTTGTTTCTCATGTTTCCTCCCCGACCAGGAAGTACTCTGCAGAAAGCACCATCATCTGAGAGCCAATGTTCTAAAGTCTAAACCTGGGGAGGACATCATCAATCAGTAGGACCAGGAAAAATTGCATGTGTGTCATCTAATCTGGCCAGCTGTACCCTTTGCAATATTCCCACTCCCATTTTATCTCTCTTCTCTTTAAGTCCTGATGCCCACACCCTTCCCTTGACAGTCTGCTGAATGGCGCCGAAGCTGGGAGTTAGGCTGAAGTCCTGTGGGGCAGGGATTGTCTCTTACTATAGGCCAGATTTCCACGAGAGTTCAGCTCCTATTTGTGCACCAAATAAGTGGGGAGATTTTCAGGGGAGCTCATCATGCTGGGTGCCGCTGAGCTCTTGGGAAATCTAGTCTCAAGTGTCTGGACAGCAGCATCTAATAAAATGGGGCCTAGACCTGGTTCAGGGTAAACATTATGTCTACATTAAAAGAATAAATAATATAAATAAATAAATAAAGCATGAGGTCGGTGCAATTCCATTACCTGCCTAATGGAAGGGCTGCTGTCTGAGCTCTCAGAGCTGTCTGAGGAAGTGCCACTGTCACCTTAAAAAAAAAAAGTGTAAACATTTGTATCTCTAATAACTGTAAGTTAGAAAATGGGCAGGGAGAAGAGATGAACGGGAAAGGGGGTGAGCAGTAGATAGAGGATCTCTTTCTCTCTCTCTTATATGGTGTTTGTCTATGCACATGGCACTATTTCTCAAACAATAATGCACAATTCCATTTTCTTGTCTCTTGGGGGTTCCAGTTATGAGTCCAAAATGGGGCCCAATCTTGCTATCTTAATTTCTTGGCAAAGCTCCCATTAACTTCCGGGGGGGGGGGGGGGGGGGAGGGAAGGGGGGGCAGTGTTGGGCCCTTTAATTGTCAGGATGTGATTCTCATTTACACTAATGCCTCTTTATACCACCCTGGCACTATAAAGGGGCCTTAAAATGGGCATATGGCCCCTTTATATAGTTTCATGGATTCTGAGGTCAGAAGGGACTGCTTGCATAACACAGGCCATTGAACTTCCTCAAAGTCTTTCCTAAACATGTATTTTAGAAAAATATCCAATCTTGATTTAGCAATGGTCAGGGATGGAGAATCCACCACGATCCCTGGTAAATTGTCTCAAGAGTTAATCTCTCTGAACGTTAAACATTTACATCTCATTTCCAGTTTGAACTTGGCTAGCTTCGGCTTCCAGCTATTGGATCATGTTCTATCTTTCTCTGCTAGATTAAAGAGCCCATTATTAAAAATATTTGTTCTCCATGGAGATACTTATAGACTGTAATCAAACCACACCTTAAGCTTCTCTTTGTGACGCTAAATAGATTGTGCACTTGGAGTCTATCACTAGAAGGCATATTTTCCAAACCTTTAATCATTCTCATGGCTCTTCTCTGAACCCTTTCCAATTTATCAACTTTCTTTTTGAATTGTGGGCACCAGAACGGGATACAGTATCCCACCAGTGGCCACACCAGGGCCAAATACAGCCATAAAATAACCTCTCTACTCATACTCGAGATTTCCCGGTTTATGCATCCCAGGATCACATTAGCTCTTTTGACTGCAGCATCCAAGTGGGAGTTCATGTTCCACTGACTATCTACCACAACCCCCAAATGATTTGCACAGTCATTGCTTTCCAGGATAGAGTCCCCCATCCTTAGGCTGCCTGATGGGGTGTAAAGGGGCCTTCAGGCTTGTCTACACATGGAGCTATTCCTGATTAACTCCATGTGTGGGTGCCTTGTTCCTGTTTAAATTAACCATATTGCTTAAGCAAGTCCCTGAATAACTCCACGCATAGACAAGTCCTTAACAGAAATGAGAACCAGGCCCTTAATATATTCCAACTCTGCAGCATTATGGTTGATTTTAAATTGGCAATTTGAAATTTTGTTTTTCATACTGATTTTTTTTAATGCCCCCTCCCAATATGTGCAGTGAAACTCCACCCCCCAGCCCTGCAGCCTGACACGAGGCATTATTGTACATCAGCAACATTGATCAGGGAATTCAAATGTTAAGTGTGTTACTGGCACCCGATGATCATATCCTCTAGTATAAAAATGTAAAACATGAAGAGTGCTGGCGTCACAGGCCCTTATCTGCCTGTCTGGAGGACTGAATGGAGAAGAACTCATCTGGCAAATGGAATGGGGAGGGAGGAGGTGATGTGAATTGCTAATGCATATAGCTCACTTGTACAGGTTCTTCATTCCCCATCCTAAAGCTAGGTTGTGTTTGCTGCTGCCCAGTTCTACTGCTAACATATAAAGAGAGGCTCATCCCTTGCAATGAATCAGGCTGATAGCAAAGTATTTTCATAGCTAGTTAAAGAAGAAATTGTTGTGTAACGAATAAACTGTCCCCCCCCCCTTCTCAAACACAGAAATATGAATGCAGGACCCACACCTTATGTCACTCATCATTTTCAAAAAGAGTACAAAACGCATGTAACACACTACCATAGCAGAGGAGTAACATGTTAGACTCCCTTAGCATGGGTGTAAGTGTCAACATAAGGTGAAATGCAGCGGTGAATCCGGCCCTGTGTTTCCAAATACCTGTCTGCAGGAACAAGTACCTGAGGTCAGATATTCAGCCGGCTTCAACTGGCGTTGGGCCACTGAAGTCAATGAAGCTATGCCAATTTACAACAGCCGAGGAGCTGGTGCAAGCACAGATTTGAAGATTACAGGCTGCACCCACTGAGCCGAGACTTGATTATTTGGCCCCAAAGATGCAATCTTACCCCGGATGCGTGGCCTTTTCAAAGCCTCATTTGCTGCCTGGCAAGTGTTGGGTTGTTCTGGTTTTGTAGAAGGGCTGCTGCTGCTCACCTGATTGCTACAGGAATGATTGTCTGAAATGGAAAGTCAGATTTGCTCATTACTTCTGCTACTGCAGGGAAAACATGACAAGGGCCATCACTTCAGGACATGAGCTGATCACTAGGCAGGGACAATAAAAAAAATCCCTCCTGCTATAGTATAATGATGCACAAGGGGCTAGGTCATTTGTGGTTTTCTTGTTTGTTGTCATTTCTGTGCCTCCCACTGGAGCACACAGTACAGGGCATTACAGGAGATGGTGCACTGAACTACAAGCAAAATTGGTCCCTCCTAGAAGTGCCCAGTGCTTACAAATATGAAAAAATGACAGTATTGGCTCGAGAAAGTCCCCCCCCCACACACACACGTACACCATCTATTCCAGTCCTGCGCTCCCCACATCCAGATCTGCCAGTGCCCCATAATCCACATCCCAGCATCCTCTGTTATTCCACTCCTGGGACTTTCACACACGGATCCACCACAGCACTATAACCCAGTCCTAGAACATCTCATGCCAATCCTGTGAGGGCCTCTCCTGAGCAGAAGTAATCATTTATATCATACAACGTAAGAGTCACAGTGAGCTATTTTATTTTTGAGGGGAACAAATGAGTGAGAAATTACCGAAACTATCAAATTGTGATCTAAAGCAGATTTGGACTCAGATATCTTGTGGTGAAAGGTTCACTGTGCTTCTGAACCTCCATCTATACAAATACAAGATCAGATTACGCAATAGGGCGGATTGGAACATGTACTATATACAGCGCTTGCATGAATATGTTTCTCGTTGGAAAACGTGGTTTAATCAAAATCAAATGTTGACTTTGATGAAAATTTCCCACATTCCAACAGGGAGATTTGAAACAAAAAATGTTTCAAATCAACTTGGTGAAATGCAGTGGCATTTTTTGTTTTAAAATGTCTATTCAAAAGAAAAAAAATTGTTTTGAAACAAAAACAATCAAACATCAATCTATTGACTTGTTTTATTTTGATCCAAAGTGTCAGAATTTTCCATTTCAACATTTCTGATGCAAAACTTGTTGGAGTTTTTCATGTCACAATTTGTGTAAAAATATTTTTGACTTTTCATTCTGACTGGGAACAGAAAATAATTTTGAAGCATTGACATTTCCCGTGAAAGGACAAATTTTCAAACAGCTGTAATTATAGACTAGTATAGACTATTTCATGTGTAATATGTCCTGTCAGACAGCTGACATTACAGGCCAAATTCTGCTTGTCTCACTCATGCAAGTTGTCCCGTTGACTTCAGTGGGTCTATTCGTGTGAGTAAGGCTGGCAGGATTTCAGCTTACTTAGTATGTATGTGATGACAACACAGGGCACCTCTACGTAGCAGCTGGGAGGTAGAATTCTCAGCTTGGGTAGCCATACACTCAGTAGCTCTGCTTGTGCTAGTACCCAAGGGCTTGCCTACACCACGCAGCTTTTAGCGACAAGGCCTTGTGTCGACACAGCCTTGTCGCTAAAAGTCAGCACGTGTAAACGCTCTTTTTTCGGTACTTGGTCGGCACATTTGCAGACAAAATACTTCCAGCCCCGCGAGCGGCATTAGTTTTGTCGGCAGGACAAAGCCACGTTCACACTGCCACTTGCATCGGCAAAACTTTTGTCTTTTGCCGGGGGGGGGGAACGGGACTTTTTTAAGTACCCGCAAAAGACAAAAGTTTTGTCGACAACTAGTGTAGACAAGCCCTAAAACTAGCAGAGTGGCCTCAGCAGCATGGGTGGCAACTCAAGCAAGCGGCCTAAGTACATGCCCAGGCGATCGGGCGGGACTGTACTTGGTGTCTAACCTGACCCAGTGCCGCCACAGCCACGCTGCTATTTTTAGGCGCTAGTCCAAGCAGAGCTAGAGCGAGACGTCTCCCGAGTTGGAAATCCCACCCCCCCCGCTGCCGTGCAGACATACCCATAGTGTCCTGTTGTAATGTTGTGCTGCAGCAAAACCACCCAAACGCTGCTTCTTTAACCCCTGCCACTACTCGCTTTTTACCCCCAAAATACATTACTTGAGTGGGCCCCACCTGTCCTGCATTCCACACACACCGGGCCAGAACCTCAGCTAGTGTAAAGCAAAGTCGCTCCTTTGGCTTCAGTGCATGACTTCAATGGCACTACGACTTACACCTGCTAAGGAGCTGATCCATCTGTTTGTCAAATCGCATTGGAACTTGTTTAAAAAGGACCCCCGTTCATTCTCCTCCCCCATGTCCTGGAGTGCTTGGCATTTCATGAACCAGGACTAGCCGTCGCAATACAGCAGTTTGTGACCCTTAACAAACCAAAGAGTTACTTTTTGTTGGCTCTTGGGCCAAATTCATCCGGTTCACTTAAATGGATTCACACCAGGGATGAATGGGGGCACATTATAAATGAAACCAACAAGAGATGAAATTACCTATTTTCCTGCTGAGCTTGATGTAAAGCACTAGTAGGAGAACAACATAGAAGATAGAGGTCACACCTGAGATGAGAATGTTTATCCACCAATAAAAACACATGCTAAGGGAGAGAAAACAATCAGGTTATGTTAGATCTTCCAAGTGCTGATGGGCTGACATGCTTTCAGATAGGACGTCGTTTTTAAGGTGATTTCCCAAAGACTTGGGCAAAGATTTTCAACAGTGACCAGTGGTTTGAGGTTGCCAAGCTTTTGGGGGTCCAATTCGAGACAAACTAAATCCAATTTTGGGTGCTCTGCACTTTCTGAAAAAAATCAGGCCCCTTTAAGGAATCTCAAGTTGAAAGACACCCAAATAAGACAGTGATGAGCATGGCATAAGTATCTATATAGAATAGGATAGAAATTGGGCTCCTAAAAATGGAGACACTCTAAAATCACTAGTCACTTTTGAAAATCTTGGCCTAACTGACTATCAGACCTGGTTGCCCAGCAAGAATATATAGTTGCCCCAGTGACAGCCAAAATGAGATTTTAAAAATGAGCAAAGAGGAGTCCGAAGCCCTTGGGGCTGGACACCCTTGAATTTTAATGCTTTCAAAATCTGGAGCCCATTTCTAGTTCTACAGATCGGGTTACAGGGGAGAAAATCAACCACCCAGCTCCATGGGGAAATCGATCATCAACTCCCTTGCATAGCAGGTTTCTCCCTCGAATAAGCAGCACTAATGGCCACTGCTCCATACCGCGGTTGGGAGCACCGAAAGGAAGAGCTGTTTTATGCAGCGCTTACCTGAGACTAATCCTCCCAGCAGAGAGTCTTCACAGGCACGAAAAATGCTGAACAAGTTGCTGAGGGTTTCTAAGGAGAGAGAAAGAGACAGGGCAGGGATATCCAGGGACCTAATAGCAAAGAGGCAGCAGTGTCTTCAGGGCCAGATGAACACACAAAGGAACATGGCTGGGTCCCCCAGGCGCCAATAAAACAATAATAATACTGTGCACGTGTATATCGCATAACAGTGGGGAAACTCAGGAACAGGGAGGCTGAGCAATTTGCCCAGAGCAACACAAGGGCCCCGTGACTGAGCCAGGAATGGAACCCAGAATGCCTGACTCCCCGTCCCATGCTCTGACCACTAGACACAGCTCCCTCCTGTGCCAGCTTGGGCTGTCTATTGCACTCCTCTTGGCTTTCATTCCCCTGGAGCTGCCCTGAACCACAGAGGTTAAAACCATGCAATACCTCATGGAACGCCCTACGTCCTGCCCCCATAAATCAACTACCAATAAGGGGATCAATTAATGCTAGCAATGGCACTGCGCTGTACTGGGCAAATAGCAGCTTCCATAAGTCTTTCTTACCATCCACTGAACCTTATGTGGACTTGAGTGGGTGATGCTTCCCAGCCAACTGCAATAAGGGGACAGAACTGATGGAGAAAAAATGCAACAGTCTAAGCAGAGTGATGCAACAAAGAAAAGAAACCGATGCTGCACTAACATAAACGGAGTGGCAAGGGGATAAAAAAAAAATAGCAATGGAATGGACTGTGTGCTGGAAATGAGGGCAGGGCCGCACAGAGCGGGGGTGGGGGGGATAAGTGGGGCAATTTGCCCCAGGCCCCGCAGCGGCCCCCACGAGAATACAGTATTCTATGGTATTGCAACTTTTTTTATGGCAGGGGCCCCCGAAATTGCTTTGCACCAGGCCCCCTGAATCCTCTGGGCAACCCTGAATGAGGGAAGAAGTAGGGTTAGGAGGAGACATGATCATCCTTAGGCCAGACCCCAGCCAGTTCCATTGACTTTAATGCCGATTTCCACCAACCAAGGTTCTGTCCCATTAGGTTTCTACAGGGGCATCAGCCTGGTAGGACTTTTCCAAAGCTGCACAAATTAGTTGTAGGAAAATAAACAAATAAAGGGCCTTCCTCTTATTTCTAATTCATGGTCTATCTTTTATGAAGCGTTGTTCCTAGGCCTATCTAACAAATGCTCCATTCTGTGACAAACTCATTGGGTTGCCCTGGGGTAACCAAGGGGAGAATACAACTCCCTTTGGCTTGTAGGGGAGGTTTTCCATTGACTTCAGTGGGAGTTGGAGCAAGACCTGGGAGGGGAATCTCGTAGTAGCCATGATAGGAATCCAGATATGCATCACGCCTGTTTTGCATTGTAATGTCCCCTCCTGCTGTACATGCAGTTATTTCCCATATGCTTTGCCTTACCCCAATTTACTTTATATGTATCGCCATAATAAAAATGTTTTAGAGGGAAAAACAAAGGCCTGCAGCAACAGGTGCTTAATAAAAACTTGTCACAGTCACAGATAATACAGAACTGTAAATAATAATGTAATTCCCCTGTCCCCCAGCGTCTACCTCCATTAGACCGCCACTATCTCACATTCTCCCCAGGATAGCTGACACGGGAGCAGGATTAGGTTTCTATAAGGGATTCTCTACATAGTATATATTGAGAGGTTCGTAAAAAGGACTTGACACCAATGAGAAAACTACTTCTTATCCAATTTTAACATTTGGCTAGATGACGCATTTTCAATGCAAAGCTCTGTTGACTGCAAATTGTGGTCCTGCTGCATGAGAGACTCTTACTTCAGCGGTACTTCCGATTGCAAAGAACATCAGTGTCATTCCGAAGAGTATGTTTCTCTATGGGTCCTGAAAGGTGCATAGCAGCGACAATTCTATTGACTTCAGTGGGAATAAAATTGCACTATCAGGATTCAGCATCTCTCAGTGCTTGGTCCAAATGGTGCAATTCGGGCCCTAAGTTATTCAGTAACGAATAATAATACCTAGCTCTTATATAGTGCTTTGCAGCCAAAGATCCCAAAGTAAGGCTACTATAGCCTCAAACATGCAGACTGAGAGTTGCAAAACCAGAGCTCCATTAAGCACCCTCTACTCACATGAGTAGTCTGTACTCACATAAGCAGCCCCATTGACTTTGGTGGGTCAATTATGTGACTAAGGCCCATAATTAACCATTGCTAATGAGAGAGAGCAAATATTCGGTTGCTAATTTTCAGCTGCACAATGTGATAACACACCAAGTGAGCTTTTCTCCGGATGAGGCATGAGAGAATTTGCAGAGTATTATGCAAATTTGGGTTATTTTAAAAAAATGGCGTATTTGGCTTTCTTTGCCAGGGGTTGGGACTTCCATGGAATGCTCCTGCATTGATCCAGTGCCATGTGCCACTGTGGCATTCTTTGGGTATGTCTATACCATCTCCAACAGCGAGCCTCCCAGCCCGGGTCAACAGCTTCAAGCTAGGGGGGCTTCATGCCAGCGTTCTAAAAATAGCTGTGTTAGACAGCACTTTGAAGATGCAGCTGAGGCTCTGAAGCCCACCCCACACCAGGCTTCAGAGCCTGAGCCACAACTTCAACGCGCTGTTTATATAGTTATTTTTAGCATGCTAGTGTGAGCCCCACTAACCTAAATCTGCCCACCCAGGCTGGGAGGCCCCAGATCAGGAAAACACTTTGTCTCCAATGAGTGCTCCCTGAAGAGGGATGCTTCACCGAATTGGGGCCTTTGGACCAAGATGTAGCTGACTGTTTTCCATGAGTTTTATCAAAAGACGACAACACTCTCCAGAGCTCTGTGATCCCAGAGGGTGTGGGAAAGCATTAGGGTGTCTCAGCCACCTCTGCTAACCATTCCCAACACTGAAAAACAGGAACATTTTGTGGGGTCTTTCTGGTGTATAGGTTACAAAGGCCTGTTCCACAAGGTTTGCTTCGGTGGAGTTTTATTGACTTTAACCTACAACTGGAAACCGTAATCATTACACTCTGCATAAACCTCACTGGCCATGTTTTAAAAGTTAAAATAGTCATTACATGAGTGGGGCAGAAACACAACTCCGTGTGTGTGCGTGTGTGTCCACTGCCCTTCTCAAGGGGGCCCTGATCCTTGACTGGCACTTCTGAGCACTACTGCAATCCACTAATTCATCACAATTAGTACATACATTAAATAAATAATAATAATAAACCTAAAATGTGTTTTTCATAATTTTATCTTTTTTTTTAAATGCCCCCAAAAGCATCTGAAAAATACAATTTAAAAAAAGACGAAGTAACAAATAAAAGCCACAAACCATGAGTGCAGAAAGTTAGTCTCCTAAACTCATCTAAAGTTAGGCACCTAAATAAAGGAGGTTGGATTTTCAATGTGCTGGGCACCAGCAGCTCCCAATGGGATTCGTGGGCACTCAGTGCCTCTCAGAAAAAAATCACCCCTCTTTTATTTAAAGCCTACACGTGGACTTAACAGCCTAACGTTAGGTACTAAGACCCAGACCCTCAAAGGTATTTAGGCGCCTTACTCTCATTGATTTCACTGGGGGATAGGCGCCTAAATACCTTTGGGGATCTGGCACTCAGGTCCTGATTCAACAAAGCCCGTAGGCACTTTTGAAAATCCTAGTGTAAGCTAATTAGGTGCCCAAATTCCATTGCAAATTAATGGGAATCGGGCACCCACTTCCCTTATACTCCTTTGAACTTCACAGACTTAAACATGTGTTTAACTTGAAGTTAATGCTTACATCCCATTCAAGTTAGTGGGACTTATGCACACGGATAAAGTTAAACATCCGCTCTGCTGCACTGGGGCCATCAGCTTGAAACTTTTGGCTATAATATCCAAGAGAATTCAACTTTGTAACTAAGGTTTACAAGCCAGATTTAATTGGCATTGTGTGTTTTCAATTTTGTAAGGGCACGTTCAGTTTTAGATAAATGCTTTAAAATGATCGAATAACTAAAATGAAATAAATGCTTATGTATAATTACTAACAACAAACGTCTCCTATTCAGAGACAGGTTTTAGAGACTACGATGAGAGGAGCCTTAGAAACGAGATAGACAGAGGCTCCGTCTGCACTGCGGATCAGAAAATGATTTTGATCCCAGAACAAAATATCCAAGAGTTGCTCAACAAAACATTTCTCGAGAATCCCATTCAACGTCCCTCTGAATCCATCTTCAATATAATTCTACTTACCGGAAGAGTTAGGCAACTACCAGACTAGAAGTCCATTTCTTGCTTTTTTTCCCCACT